CACTATATAGTTTATACGGATCATAGGCTTGTCCGGGTTCGTGTAAACTTAGATAAGCCTAGGGCTAGACTAGCTGGTTACTGGAAATTTAACTGTTCACTATTTGGTGAGCAGGGTTTACGGGACCAGCTGCTACTAATCATTCAGAGGGAATTGACGGGGGCGGTTGTTGGAAATGCCTGGTGGGGCAAATTAAAATCTAAAATTAGAACGTTTGCTGCCGATTTTAGTCGTCGACGCAATCTAGATAGATTTTGGCGAAGATCTTAGCCAACCGTCTGCAGCTTGTCCTGTCTCGTCTGATTGGCCCCGAACAGACTTGTGCTGTGAAGGGCAGGACTATTCAGGATAACCTTCACATGGTACGCTTGATCTTAGAACAAGTCGACAGTGAAGCCGCGCTGATCAATTTGGATCAGTCCAAGGCCTTCGATAGGGTTGACCATCAATTTCTGGAGGCTGTCCTTTCGGCGGCCGGTTTCGGAGCCGACTTTCGCTCCTGGATCCGACTCTTGTATGCGACCCCGGTGCGCTGGTGGAAGTGAATGGGGTAAGATCGAAGCCTTTCGTATTGTCTCGCTCCATTCGTCAAGGTTGTCCGCTCTCGCCTATGCTTTACGTTCTTGCGTTGGAACCTTTCCTTCGCAAGTTAAAGGCGAATCCGGTCCTACGCGGAATTTCGCTGCCTGGTGCTTCCACCTCGGCCAGGTATTCAGCCTATGCTGACGACGTTTCGGTTCTTGTGTCGAGCAGAGCCGAGATTAACGAAGTCAGCAAGGAGGTCAGTGGGTATGAGATGGTGACAGGGGCCAAGATCAACCGCGATAAGTCTGTGGGCTTGCGGTTGGGTGCGTGGAAGGGAGTTTCTCTTCCCGGACCTTTTCTCTGGACGGATGGGCCGATCAAGATACTCGGCGTCTGGTTCGGTCCTGATCTCCAGTTGGAAATGAATTGCTCGGAGGTACAAGGGAAGGCCGAGGTCGCGGTTAATCTGTGGTCTCGGAGGAGACTTTCCCTGAAGGGAAGGGCGGAAGTATGTGGTTCACACATATATCCAATTCTCCTGTACCGACTCTCTGTGCTTCCACTCCCGTATGCCCGACTAATGTCATTAGTCAAGGTCTTGTTCTCTTTCTTGTGGAGAGGCAAGGCCCATATGGTATCTCGCGAGGTCTGTTGCCTTCATCCCTCGGAGGGCGGTCTGGGTATGCCTAGCATTGAGATTCGTCAATATATGCTTCGCATCACCTTTCTAGACCGAATGTGTCGCGGGTCGGATGCGGAGGGTGCCTTTTGGAAAGAAGACGTCCAGAAACATTTCCCGTCCCTGAGAAGTGTGCACTCGTGCGAAGAGGAGGCCAGCCGTACACCACGTGCCGAGTGCTCCTTCTATCGTGAATGTCGTCGCGCACTGAAGCTCCTCTTGCGGGCTACGGATGGTCTCTCCAACGCCCAGGCGTTGTCCCGTAAGGCATTGTATCAAGTATTAGTTAGGGGGGCCGCACAAGATGATCTAATTGGCGAGCTCGGTCTTACGAAGCAGGAGGCTCGCTCGATATGGCCTTGGGCGCCTGGGTTGAAATGCCTCAATAACGATGAGGCATCACTCACCTGGCTGGTGATTCGTGAAGCCCTCTGGGTCGGCAAGAGACTCTGTGCAGCAGGCTTGGAGAAATATCCAAACTGTCGTCGCTGTACTGGGGAAGTCGAGACCGTTGGTCACGCCTTTTTTCGGTGCAAGGCGGTAGTGCCGTTGGGCAAGTTTGTTGAAGGCCTCATGGTTTGCATGTTGCAGGGAAATTTTTTTGTCCTTGAAGCTAGTTCTGTTTGTAGCAATGTGGTGCCGCAATTGACGAAGGCTGAACACTATGTGTTCTGTTGCTTACTAGGGGTTATGAGAGTCGTGATTTGGACGACGCGTCAGAAGGGATTCCATGAGGGCGAGAAGTTCACCTCTTCCCAGCTGATCTTGTACTTTAAGCATCAGCTTAAAGATTAGGACGGAAAGGCGGCGGCTCACCTCATCGGAATTCAGCAAAAGGTGGGTGAATCTTGCGCGTTTGTGCCGTGTAAAAGGGGCTGACTTGGAGTGGCATTTTGATGTCGGTTAGGCATCAGGATATTGTTTTCCTGGGTTGAACATGGGCAACCCATCCCGAAATTAGGTTAGAGTAGGTTTTTGTATTTTTTCTTTTAGTTTTTCTTTCCTGTTCTGATAAACTTAGCTAGGGTGTGTTTGCTCATTGGTCCCCTTTTATTTCTGTCCCCACTTTTTTTTTTCCTTTAGTTTAACTCCCCGTCCACTCCCTCGTTTAGGTGGTCAGTGATGTCAGTTCTCTGGTGGATGCGGGGCGCCTTTCGTTTCGTGCGTGTGCTTTCGTATTTGTTGTTGTGTATGGATGAGTGAGTGCTTGTGTGAGTGCTTGACGGTTTAAATGTGTCCTTATTTTTATAGTCTCGCATCGATTTCGTCCGGTTAACTGATATTTCTGCCACATTCAAAGTTTGTGGGGGTTTTAATACTAACACTAATTTTGTTTAGTTTCTTGTAAATATATTTCGACATTTTGTATATACTCATTGGGGATTTTTTAAAAGTTGTTGTTTTTATGCCCCCCTCCCCCACAGACAATATTTGTACATAAGGGGTGTATTTAGGTTTTTCATTGAGTCAAGAGGCATTTTGGTGGATGTAGTAAGAAAGGTATGGATAAATGTGTTGTTTTGGTGATAGGAATATTGTTTAGTATGATAGGGTCAGTGATTGTGGCTAGCTAAGTTTTAATTTAAGACATGTGTTGACCGTCCTTTTCCCCAGCCCCCTTTTCGGCCTTGTGCCACATTTGTACATAGTACAATAAATAATGAGAATTTACGACGATCAAATTCGCTAAACGACTTCACGACGCTTGAATCATTACTGCAGCGAAGTACAAAGTTGGAACCTAAAGTTCTTTAACATGAAATAACTTCACTGAAAATCAAGCTACAATTTCAAGGAAAGATCTCACTCACCAACTTGTAAAATTTTATATTCTTATTCAATTACGTTATTGAATCAGACGAACTTTAATTACAAACAATTACGAACAATAAAACTACGAGCAACGAAAACAAACGGAACATTCACTTCTCCAACTTCTTTAAAGCTAAAAGTTTATTAACATATTTTCAGCTTTATAAGATTCTCTTTCAGTGAACATTTTGAACTACAAGTTAATTCAGTTTTTGTGAGCTCGGATAAAAAAATGGTTTTTTTTATTAGTAAAAACATTAGCCCAGTCAAAGGGAAGTAACTCTTATTATTGTTATTGTAAAACTGTTGTCATTTATAAATATAAATATTGTTCCTGATTAAGAAAAGTTATTTTCTTGTATTTCTTCTCTTGTTTGCTTTTTATTTTCTTGCACATTCGTAAAGTAAAAAAATGTGTGGGTTGATTTATTCCGTCAATACCACTACACATTTAACAAAATGAATGAATTTTGTTATCTTCATAACATATTTTATAAGGATGTGCTGAAAAGATCTTGGCCAAAACAAAGAAGCCTTTTTCCACACAAAGTATTCAGTTTGGTCATCTAGTCAGATTTTTAAAAGTAGATCAGTCCAAGAACTTTTCAGTACTCCTCATTTTTCTTCCTGTTGGAATTTTTGAGATGAGGAATTAACATTATTATATATTTTTTAATCGGTATCATCCCAAGCAAGGCAGTAAAGCCACTAAGATGCAAGGGGTTACAGGGTGTGGAGGAATTAGGAACAGAAACATTAGTAATGAAGAGAAAGAAAAGAACAATCAGGAGGACAGTATATAGTGATTGACATTGCATTTAAACTTTTGCAGATTAAAGTTGGGTGGAAAGCATGGAGCTGGAAGTGAGTTCCACAAGTGAGAAGTGCAAGAAAAGAAAATGTTAGCATAGAAGTTATGGCTACATCTAGCTAGCTCAACTGTAAATTGATGAGATCTCACCACCAGTCTACTATTGCACTTAAATTCATACAGTCTAGGTACCATAGCAATGAGCTCATCTGAACAATTACCATGATAGTATTTATAAAAAAGGCACAGAGAAGCAAACTTATGGCAGTGGGTAAGTGACTGAAGCCAAGCTGCTAGATAAGGACCAGTAATATTACTGATTCTTTGGATATTATCAAGGAGCTCCAGATAAATAGCAAGGGCACTAAACCATATGTGACAGCAATATTCTAAGGATGAATGAATAGTAGATTTATAGATATGCAAGATAGATTCCAGAGAGAAAAAATATATGCCTTTCCATTTGGATTAGTGTCCTCATTTTGGTTGTTATACTTACAACGTTTCAGCTGTTGTACACTGTGGGCATCTTCAAATGTGTGTACCTTCTAGTAATTTTTACCAAACCCTTTATTCAGTCCCTGGGGGTTGATTGTTTTCATTCCACATTCCATGCTTAAGGAACATTGTCTCTTTAGCCTTTTCACCTTTATGTTGCTGTCATTTTTGTTTTTACTAAACTAAATTTATGACATTCCCCTCACAATTGAGCCGGAGATTGAACTGATAACTTTCATGGAAGCAGATATGTTTCAATTAAGTTTGAGGTCAATCCATATTCTGTGTAGTTCAGAAAAGACATATTTTAGTTTAGTGGGAGAAGTCTTAATTGACACATAAATAGATGAAAGAGAATTAACTGATACAAGTTGTCTTCCCTAAGCAAGGAAAAAGGAATGGGATTATTAATTGAATAAAATTCCCAGAATGTTACCAAGTACAACAGACACCTAAAGAAAGATGGAGGATACAAACATTGTCAGAATAGCAACCAAAACAAGGATATCAGACTGAAGGAAAAAGCATAGAGTAGAATTTTCTCACTTTTATTTTAATTATTTCAAATTTTAAGAATTAGTGCAGTTGGTTTGTTCAGTAGTTGATATCCTTTTGAATATCATATCTGAATATATTGCATATTTTGATTTAGCTCAATTGATTGCATCTACTTACCATATATTTTAAATGCATATGAAATTTTTAGTTCCCGAGGAGCTGCATCAGAGAATACGGAGAACATATCAAGAAATTCATTGAAGGTCAGATGTGAAGATCCATCAGAAGAAAATACCCGAAAGATTCTTTTATTAAATGGATTCGCCTAGAAATAAAAAAAATCTAATATATATATATATATATATATATAAAGATAGTCTGCAAGTGTCATTTGCTGGCGGCATCCACAATGCTATATTACATGTAGTTCACATGTACAAGTTTCCTTTCTTTGTTAGCAAAATAGCACTTGACTTTCGCAGGCAACTATTTTTTCTTTATTCAGCTTTTACTTTAAATAGTTGACCAAAATTGAAAGAGGAAATTAATTCTATCGAAGGGAATTAACAATGTCAGGCAAATGTACATTAAGGGAAGCAACTCTTGTAGTTTTAGTTTCATTTTTTTAATTTTATCTTTTGTTAATAAGTTAGGTAACTAATAAACAGATTTCAATGCATTAAATGTGTTTATTTAATACTCTTTAATGCTTTGAATAAAAGAAGAAAATTTTATACTGACAAATTTTATTTTCAATGGTTGGAGTTCAATATGAAAGTCTTTATCCATGTTTTATTATTTTTCTGGTCAAAATCAGAATATATCATTTTTTTTATAATTAAACAGAATACACAATATTTTTCAAACTGCTGAGTCTATATGTCAAAAAAAAATTGAATATGTAAGAATAATATAAGTCTAATTATTATATCAACATATGCCATTTATTTTATCAATACTTGATGAGAAAATAAAAGTGCAGTTTAGGAAAAGTATTATATACTGAGAAGGTGCCATAGTTCAAGCACTTTCTAGTTTGTACTTATAAATGCATCATAATAATAATGACTCTTGATTAGATTGTTTAATATCAATCAACTCTAAAAGTAATTCTAAGCACAGATGTACTAACATCTTGTACACCCCAAGATGACAAATATCATGTGCACAAATGTGGTTTTTACTCTGGATTTCAAATTTGTCCTTAAATTACTTTTCTAATTAACTGTATAATAACTATACAATTTTGTGAATGGTGATACTATTTTCTTCATGTATATTTCATACTAATTTGGTTTACAGAAATTTTTAAGTGACTGGCATTTTAAATAAATCAGCTTATAAATCAATTCTTCTTTAGTTGATATTTAGAAAATATAGTGAAAAGAAAATGAAATTGCTGTAATACAAATGTTTATATGCAGAATTGTATGTCTGTGAAAATATCTATTAATAATATGCAAAGATATTTACTGATCATTTTTTCATCCTTTCAAAATATAATTTAATCTCTTTAATAAAGATTTTTTTCAAAGTTTAATGTAATACAAATTAAATCATTAGTAAGAAAATATATTTACTTTCAACATTTGGTGAACATGCTAAAATCAATGTCATTTCTTTTTACATTATATATTTTTGAAAAAAGAAAATAACGCTATACCTTTTTGTTATTATTGCATAGAGAAGCCAGGTTGTTTCTGAAAATGAATATTAAATTGCATACACTACAATCACATGCCTTTAGAGTAACATTTAACATATGTAAAAACCTTGAATTCTGGCATCTCTTCCAAAAAACAGGTTGAAACTTTTAAAGTGCTAGCAATGACCTCTGACATTTCCACAGGAATTACATTGGGATTCAACTTATGAAAGCGCTGGAATATTCTGGAAATAAAATAAAGAAAGTATATAATTATAAATATTTTTGATCATTTTAATTTCTGGTGTTATATGAGTAAAAACGATTATCATATAAATTTGAAACAAAAAAAATTGTTGATACATGTTTAAGAATTTTATCTACAACATTAACTTTAAAAAATATTAACTATTTTTATTATTTGATATTCTTGTACTTACAAAAATACAAGCACTTATAATTGTAAAAAAAGATATCTATAAATAAGATATGCAAGTTGAACCTCTTTAATCCAACCAACATTGGGTAGAAACTAAAATAATGCATTTTCTGAACTACTAAACATTAAACAATAAAATAGCAAAATAATTTATAAATGGTACAATATTCCTGACACAAATTAAGGGAAGGAAATCAATCACATGAAAAACATTTTTTCTCCAAAATTTGGAATTAAAATAATTTTTGTCATTTATTAAATAAGGAATCAAAATTTTATTAAAATCCAATAATGAATTGATTTTTTTAAATTGAGTTTATTTTTACTAAAAATATACTAATGCAAATTCTTACAGCTACAAACAATAATTTTTTCACACAATCACTTTTTAAAAATGGGTCTGATTCTATAGAATGTACATAATTAGCTGTCAGATTAGTGAATCCTGGATTATATAGGTTCAGTTTAGATTATATATATATATATATATATATATATATATATATATATATATTTAGGAAATGGATTAAATCCAATACATTTTTAATTTATTTGTTTAAGCATTATTTTTAAATGGCTACTCATATTTGAGTAGATGCACTGTTTTTATTTATTTATTAAACATTACATTTATCTTTTTACATCTACTGGCCAGAATATTCAAGAAATCTTGTTAGGAAAAGAGGGGGCATAGTTTTCTAACAAAATGTTGAAGGTTGGATCCAAACCACACTCCTAGTTGGATTGACTTTCCTGTCCAGATTCTAGGAATGTGGACAGGAGAGTCAATCCAACTGAAGGGGCTTGGAAAAGTGACACCCTTCCAAGCCCAACTGCAAGCTGGAAAACTTGTCATGATTAATCTTGACCACCACAACCTTCTCATGCCATTCAAGTGCCTTCTGTACCACTTCAGTATTTTGCTGTGGCACAATGCAAAAATGGATACATAAATTAGAGATAACAGCAGACAATGCTGATGAATCCTTGACCACTTTTTGTTCAAAGCACAAAATCCATATACAGAAGTTGAGTTGGAATCAGCTGCCAGGTACTAATGTCAAACCTGTCATACAGCTTGGACTGATCCAAATTGATCAGCACTGCTCTTTTACAATCTTTTATCCCTTTTATGATTGTGTGGATCAGATGCAGGTTGTTCTGAATTGTTCAGATCTTCACAGCACAAGTCTGCTCTGGTCCCAACAAAATCTTGGCAACTGACTGTAAACATGCCATCAGGATCTTGGCCAAAATCTTTAACACTGTGTTTAGCAGAATTATAGGTCTGTAGTCATCTTGTTCCTCCCCAAGTTGCTTGTCCTTCTTTAGCAGTGTGATCACACTCCTGGATATCCAACTGGGGACAATTCCCTGATGGAACCAGTTGCTGAACACTGCTATCAAGACAGGAACAAACATGTGTGACAGCCTCAAGTACAATTTGTAAGACAAGACCATCAAGTCCCAGCAACTTGCCTCTGCCAATCCTCATCAATGCCTCATGGAATTCACCCTCTCTGATCTCACCCTCACAGTCAGCTGCTTTAGATGAGTAGTTGGGGGGAAGTCAGCTATTTAGCTGTGAAACTCTTGCTCACAAAGACAAGGCTGCTTGGTAAACTGAAAAATGCAAAGTTTTATTTTGAGTCATATTTCTTTAAATACTTGGTAAAGGATTTTGATTTTCTGTTCAAGATCCTTCTTATTTCAACTATGAACACCTATGTCATTGACATAGTGACCCCCCTCCTCTGGCCAGACCTCATCATCAGTACATTAATCTTGGGAGAGAAAGTGAGATCATTGTCTTCTGTTGGTAGATTCATTTGGTGCGATGTTGTATGGAATGCTTCACATCTGAGCTTGTAAATGTGCTAGGAAAATGTTAAATAAACTGGGGTTTTCATTTCCTCTTTGTTATACACCTGATAAGATCTGAAATGTTTCCATATTGGGGTAATCTCCAAACATGTCAGATTTTGTGGACCAATAGAGTATAAAGTTCCTTTATTTGATCGGTGTATTCAGTGGATTTGGAGATTGGAATGCAGTTTCTAATGGATGAAAAGATTAAATCTCTATTGATGTTGTCATATGATGCTATGAGGTTAATATAGTAGGTATACAATTTCCTATTAGAGAGGTATGCAATTTCCTGGATGCTTGATGACATATTATATCCCTTACCAGAATGAAAACAAATTGGGCTGTGAAGAGTAAACTTTTATAGGAAATATAATTGTCATCCTGCTATTTCTTAAATATTGCTCTAACAGATTTTCACATATTTTTCTAGTTTGAATTCATATATCCAGTCACTATTTTCCTGAAAGTGAACTGTTATTTTTATTATGAAAACTTTTATTGAATTAACTGACAAGATTACAAGTTCTTTAGTCTGAACAGTTAATGAGATCTCACATTTCAAAATTTTGATTTTATTTGATGCATCTTTCAAAAATTCATTTGATCAACTTATGAAGAAGCCAAAGTAAAAGAGTGACCCTTACCTAAGGATATCCTTTTTTGTGAAGTATGTGCAGTCCTATAAAAGTAAACAAGAAGTTTTCAAACATACAAAAGATAAAATTAATTAAAAAGTTTTAATTAATTTCACCTGACTTATTCTTTACCTTTATCAGGTGAATGTAAGTTGGAAGACTTCACTTACTTAGCTCTTCAGATTGATAAAAAGTGAAAATTGATGAATAAAAAAATTCCATTATTTTACAAAACAGCATGTCTCATTGCCACATTAAAAGAAATAAATTTTTCTTGAAAAAATCAATTATGAATAGAAAAAATTAGGTTTTTATAAAACCAATGTGTATGTTAGGATAAACATGAGGTGTGACTGCGCATGGCCATTATAAAGACAGTGAGTCTTGTCCTTAATGTTTTTCTTGTTACAACTACCCTGGGTACATGGCAGCAGCCCCCCAAAAATGGGATAGGCGGGTACAAGAGGAGGACAACAACACTCGGAAAAGAGTCTGCCTGCTTTATGTGAAGGGGTTATCAGAGAAAATACAAAGGGTCTGCAGTCCATATAACATCAGGACAACCTTCAAAAGCTTGACGACACTTCGCAGATATCTCTCCCGAGTAAGACCCCCATAGAGGAGAACATGACTAAAGACTGTGTGTATGCTATCCCGTGCAGAAATATAAAGGGGAGACAGGCCGTCCCTTAAGGTAAGACTTCAAGAACACCAGAAAGGCATGGTTGACCACATATGGAGAGAGAAGAGAGATCACCGCCCTCTGTGGGATCAGTTTGAGATCATAGACGAAGAACACCATTGGAAAATTCGTAAACTTAAGGAATCAGCACATATGCGCCGACGAAGCATAGAAATGAATACAATATGGGAACCAGTAATAAGGAGTGCCAGAGAAAAGCGATAATAACAAATGAAATGATAACGGCAAAAATTGCAATATGAGCACTGGTAAAAAATGGTTACTGAAGACATTAGGTTTATAATACCCAGAAATTCATACACAGATGATAGTGGCGTTAGTTAGATCCAGTGACAGGACCCAAAGAGTGTGAGTTCAATACCCAGTTAAGGCAGTGGAGAACTTGGAGAGGGGAATTAACAGGAGATAACTGACAACTGACATTCATTAAACATGGTACGTGGAACTAGAACAGTCTACTCCAGTGAGCGAAATAAAGGGTTAAATTCGACATTCCAACCACCTGAAGAAGGCCGGAGCGTACAATGGCCGAAACGTTGTAATAAATATGACGACAAAGATGAGGACAATAATTCGAATAATGTAAATAATGTACATAATACCTCATCTCAGAAATATAGACAGATACAGAACGTCTTAAGTTAATGACACTAATTATAAAGAAAAGAAATTAAAGGCTGTTTAAAATTATAAATAAATCATTTCTGTTTATTGAATGCGGTAACCAGAAAATATTACTGTAATATTTGATATTACTGTAATATTTGATTTTGATATTACTGTAGATTTGAATAATTTGTTGGACTTATAAAGTAAATAAAAAGGATAATGAATACAACTAAAGCATTTATATTCACTATGCACTTACCTTGTTACTTACATGCATATACAGTGACACGCATAAGTATTGGATACATGTTATTTTCTGTTATAACTCTAGTTTATGTTCGCCATTTTGCCTGATATTTGGTAAGTAATATCTCGTAAAGTTGTTTTAGTTGTATGTGGAAGGAAAATTAAAAACTCATGGTTGAATCCATTTTTTTTATCAAAGTTCAAAATTACCCTATGCAAAAGTATTGGATACATGAATTTAATATTTTGTTGCGTAGCCTCTGTTTTGTTTCACTGCTTCCAGTCGCTTTCTATAGTTGGCCACAAGTTTTCCACACTGATCCACCGTTACTTTACCCCATTCTTCCTTGCATAATTTCTCTAATTGCTTGATAGTTTGTGGATTCCGCTTATGAACTTTAACCTTCAAAGTATTCCACAAATTCTCAATTGGATTCAAGTCAGGAGACTGACTTGGCCAATTGAAATTACTCATACCATTATTTTCAAACCATTCCTTTGTAAGTTTTGCGATATGTTTGGCATCATTGTTGTGTTGAAGCACGAAATTCCGACCATGTCCTAAAGAAGTTGCAGATTTCTGAAGGTTCTTCTCTAGAATCTCCCTGTACATGCTACCATTTATTCTATCATGGATAACTTGTAAGTTACCGGTGCCCCTGGATGAAAAGCATCTCCATATCATAATGGAAGCACCCCCAAACTTAACTGTGGGGATGGTATTGTGCTTGTAGAAGGCAGTGCCATTTTTTCGCCAAACACTTGTCCCTGTGTTCCTTCCGAATAGTTCAGCTTTCGTTTCATCCGACCAGATTACCTTTTCCAAAAACTGCATACCTTTCTTTTCATAAGTTTCGACAAACTTTAATCGGTCTTTGACATGTTTGGTTTTCAGTAAAGGCACTTTTCTTGGTGATCTTGAATGAAAGCCTGTACGATATAGAGCTCTGCTAATGGTATCCTTACTTACATTAATTCCAGTACCCTCAAGATCAGTTTTAATTTCAGAATGAGTAATGAAGGGTTTTTTTTGCACATTTCTGCTGATCCACCTTGAAGTACTCATTTATTTTTCTCGGTCTTCCATTTCTTGGAAAGTTTGCTGTACCGTCGCCATACTTCTTATACTTTCTGATGATATTTCCTACTGTACTTAGTGCGAGATTCATTTCTTTGCTAATTTTTCGGTAACCTTGTCCTCCTTTGTGACGTTCAATGATTCTATCTCGCATATCTCTGGATAATTCTTTAGTTTTTGCCATTTTTAATCCTTGAATTGCAGAATGCACATCAAAGAGTCAGATGATTGGTAGCACTATCTTGTAAACAATTGTGTGCTTCTCTGATTGGTCAGAGATAACATTCCAATACTATCGAAAATTTGAATATTTAAAGTCTTTTAAAATACAAAGTTTCGATTGGAAATTTGAAAAAAGTGCCATGTATCCAATACTTTTGCATAGGGCAATTTTGAACTTTGATAAAAAAATGGATTCAAGTAAATAGATTCTGAAAACAATTGTATGCCTTCAATTACTGATAAAATGTATTGTTGGTCATTTTACTATAAATAGGTATTGTTTGTAACTTTATTTCCTAAAAATTTATTACTGGTATTTTTACTATATAAATGTATTTTTATAATTTCATTATTTTATTTTTGTTTGGGGGTTCACTATTTGCTCGTTAGCTGGGGTCCCTAAGAGGTGGACCTGGGAACAACAGCAATTAAGAGGTGGTTCCACACTTCTCAAAACCTCCAGTCTCCTGATCAGAAACTTTGCTGCCAGATTTAGTTTATCCTGATGCCCAAGCTTATCAATGTTTGGAAAAGTTACAACTTTATAGATAATTTGTAATATATCTTTATTTCTGTTTAACTGATTATTATAATTGTTATTATAAAACATTTTTAATGAATCACTGGAAGTGTTAAAAGAATATTTTGGAAACAAGATCAAAATTAATAAAATGGAATTTTATTTGAGACAGAATTTTATTTGGTTCATCCCCTCCCCTCTCAGTTTTACAAGCACATGAGTGTTTTCTCAAGTCATAAGGGTTGTTTTTTTGCAAATCAACACATTTGAATGTTCTAGATATCTAAAAATAATATTAATTTTACAAGTACAGGCATCAATTTAGTATTTTATAAAAATAATTCTAACATCGATGCTTAGATCTAATGAAAAGATACTTCGATTGGGAATGATGAAAATACTTCCAGACAATATCCATTGTGAAGGTAAGCATTTTTAAAATTACAATGGCAAAAGTCAATGATAAATGCATTTGATCTTTCATGCCATTCTTGACAACCCCTAATTTAAATCTCTCGGGGCTGACAAGATCATAACGAACTCATATATGACGCATTACTGGTATATATAAATAAATGAGGAAGTAAATGAGAATGATTATTTCATTAGTCTTAGATATCACTTTGGATATTCAGATTAGTTTTAAAAGTAACAATTATTTTTTAATAAATTTCAAAAACTTGAAACTCTAGAAACTTAAAAAATTTCTTTTAGTAGAAATGGGGAAAATAAATGCAAGAAGTTTTAGTGACATGAGGATTTTTTTAATGCTTGAGAATTCAGCTAGAAATAATAATTATATGAGGCATAAAAGTAGTTTTCTACTGTGTCTTCAGTTTCTCATGGGAGATAAATTCAACTCATGAAGGACTTCACACACACACAAACACACATATATATATATATATATATATATATATATATATATATATATATATATATATATTATGTTAATGTCTATACTCGACTGTTGTAAAAAAAACCCAGATAGTACAATTTGCAAGTAAAAATATATTGAAACAAATTGGTATCTGGGGAAAAATTTTGGGGGAAAAAAAAGAAAAGACTAAAAGTAGGCAGAAAAAAATCGCCCAGTGTCGTAATTTCTAGTCCAAAAAAAAAACCCAATCTTGTAAAATAAGAAAAAACGTAAGGTGCTCAATACACTAAGTAGAGAGGAGTAAAAAAAAAAGAAAAAAACTTAAATTAACTACCTAGGTTTCACCTAAATGCATCTTCAGGGAAAGCTGGCTTACCCTGAAGATCTAGTTAAACGAAACCTAGGTAAAGTGGTAGTTTTCTGGCCCTAGGATTATATATATATATATATATATATATATATATATATATATATATATATATATATATATATTCAAGTTTAAACTTACTTAAAATTGTTAAAGATTGCTTTAGCTTTATTTGTGCGTGGTGAGAGATTATCAGTGATTAAACGAGCTCGTCTTGTTCCTTTCTTTAAATGGGATGAGGAGAGTAGTTAGTAAATCTGTAGGATGAAATATAAGACTGAACTCAAAAGTGAAAAGTATAAAATGGGGTTGGGTAGGTGTTTCTCCAAGACGAGATTCTACCCTTCGACATCGCCTCTTCTGGGGATGCTCTCTGCCCGGAGGCAGAGAGTTTGACCAGTACAGGTGGTGACGAATCT